CATATTGATGCTTCTATCATATGGTAGTCCTGCATCTAAAACTTCTTGGTCCTACCTTTTTTTTTAAATTTTCTGTGTTTTGTTTTACTTTATTGTCTTACAATATATTGTCTAGACCTGCTTCTCCCTGTACAATGGTAAAAGTTTGTATTTCTGCCTATTGTAATCTGTACGGTGTTTTGCTTGATATCTTGTCCGTTTGTTATATGGATTTCGGTTCTAAAATCGTAATAAAAGTTTATGAAAAAAATAAACACCATCTTTAATTTAAAATAAAATACACAAATGCAGTGGTACAAAGTTTACTTCAGAATAAAACTGCATGCACAATTTTTTGGAATGCACAGCATTGTGGTAACGTGTTCCAGTGCGGGCTATCACACTGCGGGTGACAGGCGCGTTTGGGGTGTCATTGAAACAAACGGCACTGCAATGCACCTCCCAAAGCAGAATTTGTCAGGACAAAACCGAAAATGACTTCTTTCCCTCCACCTTTTAGAATTTTTTTAAAATAATTGTAATGTAAGCACATGGCGCTTGAATAGCTCCAGCCAGGGAATGACAGCTGCCAGTGGCAAGATTCCGCAGACAGCAGCTCAATGTAAATACAGCAGGTAGTGGGCGGGTGCAATAATTGGCCATTTTAGATTCCAATAGCAGGCTGGCTATTGCACCCACCCACTGCTTGCGGTGCCCTCTTACCAGCGTGGAGGAAAGAGCTAGTGGAATCCAACCAACTAATCGATAATGAGCAGTTGGCAACTATTCGCAATTAGTAGGTTGCAGCCCTAGTTTAGAATTATATGCAATTTCTCAAATTCGATGATTAAGCTATTAAGATTCTGAATTCTTAAACCTAAAATTCACTACAAGAAATGTTATGCCCATCTACTAAATGATCCATTTTAAATGTATACTTACTGTCGACTTGGGGCTGATTTTTTGTGGCTTGTAGCTCACATTAAGGAATGGTACGTCACCTGTAATGAAAGTACACAGTCACTTCAAGCTTATTCTGGATCCCCTCCAATTCATCTAATCTAAGCCATTTTCACATAAAATATAAACTAAATTCTGCACTACTTGCATCAGCAGAACTTCTTACCATAATGCTCATTACTACACCTAAAATATTATTTCTCACAAATATTACACAGAGAACAGCAACCTTGAGGTTGTAATGCCATCTACAGGAGCACTGGGATATAAACTGTAGTCAGGTCAGGCCAAGATAACCTTTTCTAATGCCTGTGTCCCAGTAGGATGGACATTTGTTCTTTAGCTCGGTTGGGAAAAGATTAACCTATTTTTTGCTAGCACTATTTTGTCCAACATTTTTTCTTCCGGACATCGCTGTGAGAGCTAGAGCTGGTCTCTACAGTAGCAACTACCCTCAGCCCATGAGTGCCCTGCTCAGACCCCGCTGGATTGGAAGTTCCAGGTCTAGTCTGGAAGTGACCTATAGGCACTGCATTCCATGTAAAATACTTTCCAGGCCCTGTCTAATTAGTTAGCCTTGGAGCAGTTTCCAGGTCCAGAGCAACTGGCATTGACTAAACGCTTACCTGTCTCTAAAGGCTCACTCTGAGTCAGCCATTTGGGCTGAACACCAAGAGCTACCTTATGGCACAGATTGCTGGGAGCCTTTAAAATCTTGCTCGTTCCTAGTTACTACCATGAAAAGGGTTGAGGCTCAGAAACTCAGCATGGCATCATCCATCGGGTAGAGTGCTCTGTCCCACCATTTAGCATTGAGAAAACATCTTCCCACTGCTGCTCCTGCTTTACAAAGAGTATAGATAAATTCGGATCTTCAGTCTGGTTCAGCTACTTGCCTATAGTGACTTGGGTTACCTATGGCCATCTGACCCCCACACCAGCTACAAGCAGTTGGGTTTTGTGAGTAGGCCCTGCCTTGTACCCTGAGCTATATTGCCACACTGATTTTTGACACAGGGTGGACAGTTCTGCTGTTTTGAGTAGCCCCAACAGGTCCAATGCTGCTTGAAGCACTCCTAATGATTCAGCGGTCTGCAGCCTGGAATCATCTTGCTTTCTGCAACTGGAGTGCATGCAATCTTCAGTCTTTCCTTGGGTGTGTCCCCTTCTATTATTTACAAGGTTTTTACTTCAGTCATATATGACGTTATAGGCCAGATGGGAATCAGGGAAGTCCTTCCTTCCCATCTTTTGGAAGATCCTTGCAAAGGATGAAAGCCTGTCAGGTTGAGGAGTCCTGGGCACTCTGGCATATGGCACTTGTGTACTCTATTGACAACTACGCAGGTGGAACCAGACGCAGCGCAGAACAAAGTTCCTACCTTGCCCCCCATTTTAATCCCAGGCACAGACAATAAAGCAAGCAGGCTTCCTTAGCTGGCATTGTCTAGACCTAGGGGAGTGGTCTCTAAGCCCAGAGGTGTTCCAGGACCTGTCAAAAAGGTGTAGGGCGCTGGTTGTGGACCTTCTAGTCTCAGCTTCAACAACAAACTTGCCAAGTTTGGCTCCAGCTACTGGGATACTCTACCGGAAGCAGTGGATGCTCTGAAGGCTCCATGGGATTAGTACACCCTGATGTTTCTCTTTCCTTCCCAGAAACTTTCTCATCTACTCAATATGGAGGGCATTCCATTAGGTGGTGTTTCTTGTGACAATTGCCTCTGTGAGGAGAGTGTAAAGAATCCTTCCTGGTTTCATACAAGGAGGTGTTCAGGTCCAGAGCTTCCTTCCTACCCAACGTAGTTTGGGCCTCTCACCTCAAACAAAACAGGACTTCATTCTTCTGTCCATCTGTCCGGCTCAATTTCATCAGAAGGAAATTTCCCTCCATTGTCTGGATGTGGATCAGGCTGTCAGTCGTTCAGCTACTGTTTGCTTCAGAATGACTGTCATTCTGAATGGCCCCTGAAAATGTGCACCAGCATTCAACCATCTCTCAGTTGCACAGACAGACCAATATCCAAGCTTTTGGTCTTAAAAGGAAGTGTGCTGATCTCCCTCCAGCCTAGCCACACACACCTGCCATGCCAGTCCTACACAAATTGCAGCAGAGTCCGAGATAGCTGGCAGCGGGCAGACTATTTGGCAAGAAATTGGACAGCTGTAGAACCCTGGTTTGTGAAAGCCAACAGTCGGCTGAACAGAACAGTTTCAAGATCATAGCTGCAGCAGCTATCTTGGTATAACTTCAGGACCACCCCATTTAAATATGTATTGCGGTCCTGAAGTGGTTTATAAAGAGACTAGCTCTGACTAGCATTTTTTTCTCATGCATTTTTATGCACATAGTAAAATGCCATCAAGAGATGGAACATGCAATCTTAAACTCAGAATTGTGAATAGGACATAAGAACTGTAGCACACTGGCAATGTGACCAGGAACGCTTCCCTCTTATACCAACCTGACTGCAGTTTTAACCAGTCAGAAGCCAGACTAGGCTGAGACAGAGGATAGAGCATAGCTCTTCTTGCAAAGTTTTTATTTTAGGTTACGAGGACTTTAAATATGGCATGAAGTCAGAGAGGAAAACATCAACATTACCTCCTTCATCAGGCTTCAGTCTTCCAGCAAGCATTCGAATAAAGGTAGTTTTGCCAGTTCCTGTTTAGAAAGAAGAACACTACATATTACCAGTCTGGAAAGTGCTCTTTCTAGCCTTGTTACTGGAAATTCATATATACTTTTTATGTATGTTTACAACAAACACGCATTCATGTTTAAATGCAGACAGGCATTCATTTTATTAATAAACCTTTGCAGGAAAACATGGGCTGGACTTTATCATAATGCAGATCCACTAAGAAAATGATAGATCGATCTATCCATCTATCTATATCTATCTAACAAAGCAGTGTTGTGATCACTGTAAATTACACCCGTCACAAACTAGAAGTCTGTGTCAAATATTTAGCACTTTCACTGTGACCAAGGCTATTACTAGCATCTTGGTCACTACTACAGGTATATAGTACACATAAATGTCCACAATTCGGCACATATCCCCATGGACATACGTGTTAAAGCTTGAAAAGGTGGGGAGCACAGATCTACACTGTACGGAAATACAATGAATTTGATTGCCACAGGTTTAATCTCAATATGGGCTTTGACTTCACTTATACAGTTGGACTGATCCTGACAATTGAGAGGACATGAGTTGAAACAAAGTAATAGTACATACATGTTCCTAGCCAACCTTGCTATAACTACGATCATTCCCTATTTCGGACTCGCTATCATTTTTTTCTGCTAGTTAAAAGTCTGTGAGCTATCTTAGGCCTGTAAAAATCACTGAAGAATGGCTTATTGTTTTCAAACATGTGATTTGGGCAAGAAGGACAAGGTTGCATAAAGCAGAACCAGCTGAAATAAAATATAAAAAAAAGGTGAGAAGCGCTAACAAAAGGGTCATCTTTAATTTACACTAAGCAATTTGGTTTTCCGGTTTACTAAATAAGGTGAACATTTGTCACAATTTGCACAGGTTCATACCATTCTCTCCCAGCATGACCATGATTTCAGAGTCTGTGAACTCCCCAGCCACAATCCTCATCTGGAACTCGCCCAACTTCTTCTTCATTGATGGGTACTTATACATGCACATCTTCTTCACCTCTTCTTCTGTGGCAGTTTCTGCCACCTTAAAAACCAATGAGCAGTCCCTAAATCTTAAATTTTCTGTGGGAACATAGCCATCCAGGAAAATGTTGATACCTGAAAAGAAATAAGTTTAACACTTTAAAAAAAAAGTTTAGGCATTAGAAATGAGTCATCAGCACATGATTCACTACACACTATTACAGCCTCTCTCCACCAGGGGCATGTGAAAGAGGGGGATTCTGGTGTGAAAATAGCCTACTAGTGTGATAGGGGGTGATTCTGATGTAAAAGAAAGGGGCTCCTAGTGGGAAGGTGGGACTGCCAGGGCTTTGTTTTTGTGTTTATACATGGGGTCCCCCTTAAAATCTATATCAGACCCCTTAGCTTGGAAAAGGGTCTGGTATGAATTTGAGAGACCAGAAGTTGTCGTTTACATTTTTACATGTCAGACTGAGGTGCTTTAGATTTTGCACACTGTTAAAGGATGCCGTGACTGAAAAAAGGTTGGGAAACGCTGATCTATGTTTGAACAGTAGGTACTTACCTTCTCTGACGCTGAAAGGCATGGTGACTACACCATAAGCACTTGGAACACCATACAAGCAGCAAATGAAGTCAGAAAGATAATCCAATACACTGAGGTCGTGCTCTACAACAATGATGTAACTGAAAAATAAAAAAATACTAAAACTGAAATATATATTTTAGATGTTCAACAGAAGCTGTAATATTAGGGAAATTGAGCAGACACCATTTAGTTAAGTACTTTCTTGCCATAAAGATTGGTGGAAGGATTAGAAGCTACTTTAGGTCTTTGCTGCTGTCTGGGTCTGCACAAAGGAGAGCCACAGCAGCAACTGAGGAGACATCCCAACTTTGACAGTTTTGATAGCTCCCCTTTTATTTTAACTAGCAATTTTTTTTTAAAAGATATTTTAACTAGCAATTTACAGTTTCCCTAACCTTTCTTCCCATTCCACAATAAATACACAAAACTAATTGTGGCTGGTGTTGCATTTCATAAAGAAATTCAGTAATTAATATTTGATTACTTCAGTTCTAAGAGTGCAGTGGATACAAGGGCAAAATGTAAATCTGTAGAGATGAAAAATTTCTATGAATGCCTATGTTACCGATTCATAATTAAAATGGTAAACTACAAAGTTATCTGCAACTAAACTAGAACATTTTATTAAATACACGTCTTAGTGCCACTCAGACTATTGACATGCAGGCAGGCAGTACTTGGCTATTGTGGGAAAAAAACGGACAAATATATTTTGTGCCAATACTTTCTTAATTGATCCTCTGAAAGAAACCGGAAATGATGAGGCCGCCATTGCCAAATGCTCTTTCAAGAAACGCGAATGCTTGGCTGTCATGTTGCTCTAATGGCATCCATACTTTGAGTCACTGACCAAAAACAAGTACGCAGATGTGTTCTGACTTTCTAATCAGCATGCTTGTTCTGGGTCAGTAACTAAGTATTGCAGTCAAAAGACAAAACAGGCAACTAGCATTTTCAGTTCAGCAATGGCAGCTTCCAAATGTTCTTCCCAAAGAACTCTCATTTTGAAAGTCTTGAATAAGAAAGTCTTTGAAGTCTTGAATAAGTAATAATACACTAATAGACTGCTTGGTTTCCTTACCGGTCAGGGTTGATCAGTGATCGGATGGTAATGGCAGCCTTAAGACGTTGCTTTACATCCAAGTAACTGGAAGGTTCATCAAACATGAAACTGCAATGGAACAGAACCATAATTAAATTAAGTGCAAACAGACTACTCCTGGTTTATCAGTTAAAACAGATTTTCTTACATGTCAGCTTTTTGGATACAGACAACAGCACATGCAAACCGCTGAAGCTCCCCTCCAGATAGGTCTTCAACATTTCTGTTCCTCAGATGAGTCAGATCTGGAACATCATTGCCATATTCAATATTGAATGCATACAGAAGAAAAAGAGCAACAAAGTAAAACACATACTAAGCCTATAACGGAATAAAAAACAAAGAGTGCAGTTGGCGCAGAAGTGTGATAAAGATAATGGCACAAAAGTGTCATAGTGCCTTCTCTTCCACAGTAAAACAGTGACAAGCTCATGGAGCACACCAGCTTAAGAGACACACGCTGCTATAAATTTAAACATTAAGGGACTAATTTATAATGGAGGGCAAATATCGCTATCTTCACTCCCATATACTGGGCTGCAGTGAGCTATATGCACCCACATCTTATGGCCCAATCATAAAATGCAGGCCGTGGTGTGGAGCCTGCAATGCCCCGCAAAGTTCTCCCCGCTTCTGATTGGAGGTGAGCTGCTCATGTGACAGATAACATGAAAGGGTTTTCCTGCTGGCTTTTTTTGGTCTTTCCCATTTAAACAATAGTGCTCCATCGGCTTTAGAGTCCTGAAGTTTGAAGAGAAATAAGCAAAGCTATAAAGAACATCGCTGTGCTTGATAAGTGTGCAGTGTTAGCTTTGTTTTTAAAAGCAGTGGTATGGCCACAGGCACCAACGAGTACTCACCCAACTGTTTACAAACTATAGTCTGGGTTTTTGTTTCATCTTTTCGATCTAAAATGATTCCCACTGGGCCCTGAGATAGTAAAAAAAAAAAAAAAAAAAAAAAAATTTTATTAAAGTACAAAAAAAAAAAAAAAAAAGTTTTATTACAGTTACTGCATCCTATTGTAGAGGGATATGCCTGCCCCTTCCAAGGTAAATACATTACAATCATTCTCTGGATTGCACAGATCCAGCACAAAACAAATTGCATACATACCTTTGCAGCTTTTGGAATTTGGTCCACATACTGAGGCTTAATGATGGCCTTCAAATCATCCTCCAAAATTTTGGTGAAATAGTTTTGCAATTCTGAACCCCTGAAATAAGTCAATATTTCTTGCCAATCTGGGGGATCCTGTCGTGCAAAGAAAAAAAAAAAAAAGTATAGTATAAAATATATACCAGCTATTTTACTTAACCAAAATGTATGTAAATTAAAAAAAATGTGTGCGCGCACACACATACACCTTATTTGCCAGCGTTTAAATACACCCACTATCTGTCAGCCCGCTGGATGTGCGGTAATACCAGAGTCATATTGTGCAGTGATGACTTCAGCTAGAATCCTCTGCAATGCTACACACTGAACCCCTCAGACTTGAATGTGGCCACCCCAGGAATGACACAGATTGATTTGGACTATTATCAATGTAACAAAAGGATTTGTTTGATTTATGTTTACATGGTTTACATTTTTTGGTTGAAGTTTAAAATATTCTGTATTTATGCAAGAACACGAAACTCAGAACAGTTGGATACATTTGTTAATATACAGATTAAACTCGAATAATTAGAATATCGTGCAAAAGTTCATTTATTTCACTAATGCAACTCAAAAGGTGAAACTAATATACGAGATAGACTCATTACATGCAAAGCAAGATAATTCAAGCCGTGATTTGTCATATTTGTGATGATTATGGCTTACAGCTCATGAAAACCCCAAATCCACAATCTCAGAAAATTAGATTACATGCAATCCAATAAAACAAGGATTGTACATAGAACAATATCGGACCTCTGAAAAGTATAAGCATGCATATGTACTCAGTACTTGGTTTGGGCCCCTTTTGCAGCAATTACTGCCTCAATGCGGCGTGGCATGGGAGCTCTCAGCCTGTGGCACTGCTGAGGTGTTATGGAAGACCAGGATGCTTCAATAGCGGCCTTCAGCTCTTCTGCATTGCTCGGTCTCATGTCTCTCATCTTTCTCTTGGCAATGCCCATAGATTCTCTATGGGGTTCAGGTCAGGTGAGTTTGCTGGCCAATCAAGCACAGTAATCCCACGGTAATTGAACCAGGTCCTGCTGGAAAATGAAGTCAGCATCCCCATAGAGCTCGTCTGCGGAAGGAAGCATGAAGTGCTCCAAAATCTCCTGGTAGACGGCTGCGTTGACCCTGGACTTAATGAAGCACAGTGGACCAACACCAGCAGATGACATGGCTC